GTTTAGCTTATCTAAGTCACATAGGTATCTTATATTTGCCAATGTTTACTTCCCTGTTAACTCTTTCTATAACTCTTTTCAAGAATCTTGCAAACAGACTCTGTTACTAAGTCCTTTGAATCAACTGATTATATGGTTTTCCAGCAGTTTTCAATCTTTTTTTTTTTTTTTGCGGAACCGGGGATTGAACTCAGACCCTTGCACTTGCCAGGCAAGCACTTATTCTAGTGAGCTATCTCCCTGGCCCCAGTTTTGAACCTTAAACAACAAACAAAAGAGCCACAGAAATTTCCACTGACTTTTCACAGCTTTATTCTACAGTTTTTTTTCCCCCAGAGCAGAGGTTTTATTATATCCAGATAATTGTTTTTCCTCATATTTTCTCCTCAGTGATTGGGCAGCCCAAATAACAAGTTGTGTTCCTTAGAACGCAACAATGTGTACTACTCTTAGGTAGTTTACATACTGGGGTCCCACCACCAAAGTAGGATGGAAATACAACAATCCAGGTCTACCAGCACCAATTCCCTCAAAGTAAAACTGTTCTACACGTAAAGTTGGTGATAAAAATCACTGTTTTCTACTACATAAAATTATCTAGTTTCACCTACCATACTATAAACGAGACTTTTTTAAACCAAATCATCCAATCTCTAGGCTGAATTATGAACTATGCCGTGGCCCAGACTGCAACAATAAGACAGCCAATGCAGATGTCTACTGGGGGTGGGGAGCGTCAGTGCAGGGGAAGCAGTACACATATGCATGTGTAAATAAGCACAAAGCAGTTTAAATGTGTGATGAAGACTAATGAATTAATAAGAACACTAAAATATACAATGGAAGGTGTAACAGGCCACAGAAAATCAAAATTAAAAAGTAAAAGCAAAACTTCAGAGATATGAGAAGCTATGGAATAAAATAGTTTTATAATTATGCTAGCCACAAACAAGAAGAAATAAAACAAAGAACAAATAAACTTCACTTTCTATGTCATCATCACTTTCTGAAGTTAGTACAATTTAGCAATAAGTAGCAGTCATATATATATATATATATATATATATATATATATATATTTCATGAGAAAACAAGGGGCAATAATTTAAATCAATTTGACTAAAAAATCATTACTTGTGTATTATTTATGGTCACAGCATGTTTTACTCTTCTGTAAGGTACAAATTCATCCCAGTGAGAGAGTAAAAAATAAAATCATTCAAGAACTTATTGAGTAGTACACAGGAATGCCAAAAGGAGAACTCAAACTCTGGGTTCTGTAGGAGCCAGGCACTTTTCCAGGTGCTGTAACCTTCTGCTCTATCACTCTGTATGGTTGACTTTACTAGTGACGTTGATCCCTTCCTCAATATGCACATTCCATTCCCAGCCCTTGTAAGGTTTGACTCATGCCCAGATCTGACCAATACAACTTGAACAGAAGTAACTGTGCCACTGTAAGCTGAGGCAGTCAGAAGCCTGTGCATGCTCTAGTCTCGCTCACTAAGAAGACTTAAGCTGATACGGCAAAGCCATAAAATCAAAGTTAGCTAAACTGCTTAATTATCACATACAGGGGGCCAGAGAGATGGCTCAGTGGAATAAGCGCTTCCCTGGCAAGCACAAAGGCCTGAGTTCAATCCCCGGTTCTGAAAAAAAAAAAAAAATTATCACATACAGCACAACAGTCCGGGAAGACAGCCCATTTAAATGCACTATTAATTGCATTTTCAATAACGCTGGTTAATTAAGTCACACTCAGAAAGATATGTACTTCATGTTTTCCCTGCCTGTGAAAGTAAAATAAAGTTTGCTCTCAAAGTGTAGAATGATTACTACAGGCTGGGAGGGAAAATAGCAGAAGATGAATGGATGGAAACTGTATAATGAAGACCTGCATTTTTAACGTTTTTGTTTTGTTTTGTTTATAAATCATCTGTATAATGTATGACTGCCCCTCTACGCTCCAATTTATCTTTAGGCAGACATGTATATTTTGCTCAGAACTGTATTCCCGCATACCCATAACTGGAGAGTTGAACAAATACTGACTGCTCAAACAAACTCAATACTAAGTTTCATGCTCATCTCTATCACATCAAACAGGTTTTACCCCCATTTCACAAACAGAGCTAAAACTGGAGAGGTTAAGTGACTTACTAAAAATGACACAGGTAAGAAAGTGTAAGTATGGCAATGTAAACCTTGGTCTCTTTCCAATACACTACACTGAATTAAAAAAGAAAGAAAAAAATATATATATATCATACAGTGCAGGGGAGATAGCTCAATGGTCTAAGTGCCTGCCTGGCAAGCACAAGCACCTGGGTTCGATCCCCTGGTACTGCATGCCTTGCCAGCCCTGAGCACCTAGATAGCCACTGAAAATGGGTGTGGTGGCACATGCCTGTAATCTCAGCAGTGGGGAGGCTGAGAAAGGAGGATTGCTACAAGTCTAAGCTGTGTAGCAAGACACTGTATCAAATAAATAAAGATTAAAAAGAAAAATTTTAAAAGTACTACAACACAAAATAACAGTAATAATTCTCTGCATTCAATGCAGTAATTCACAAACTTAGATGAGAAACCATATAATCAACATACAAACTCACTTAAGTAACAGCCTCTAAAATGATTATTCTGACCTTAAACATTTTATGATAGGAGGAATATCTTACAGAAAGAAAAATTAGACCTTCACAATTCTTTAAGTAGCAGTTATCCTTAAGTATCTAATCCTTTCCATCGTACTGTACTGCAACATAAAGAAATAACTAACAGTTTATTCATTAGCAAAGGCTTACTCAGTTTATGCTGTATGTCACATAGAGGAAAAGAAAAGACCTGTCTCTTCTCATAGATATTATTATGTGTTCATCTCACGACATCTACCCGGTTCCTACTGTGTTCCCTGCATGTATTTTCAGTTTCTACCAAAACAATCTGATTGGTTTTTGGATCATTTGTGGACTCAAAATAGATGTGATTTCTAGCCACTGATTCATTGTAATTCAATCAAATTACATCAAAGCAATCTGGAAGTTTCATGGAGCTCAGTATAATAGTCTTACAAGTAAAATATTCTTAGTGTCACCTCATATCAATTAAAGAAACGATTTTGGCGCATTCTTCCCATTGGCACAAACAACTGATGCTGGTTGACTGTCACACATATTTGGAAATATGAATCAACAGAAACATCTACCAAAATGAGGATGAAAAGCAAAATCTGGAAGCACGAAGTATGAATACTGAGTACTGCCCAGACTTTATTAGCTTCAATCAAGCTTTGGCTGTTCGGTAGCCAAATAAATTTAGAACTTGGACTGCATGAAAGTGGCATGTGCATAGATGCTGCTGAACGAATGCACTTTTCATTCGCTGTAGTTCAGAATCTGGCTGCTCCATACTACTTGATACCAAGGCATCCAGCAGAACCTGAAGGAAAAGGCTCTATTCTCCAAGTGGTGCAACAATGAAGACAGACATGCAATGCCAATGAACATTTTTATATAGGATTATAAATAAAGCCAAAGCAAAAGGATGAACAGGAAAGGTCCATACCAAGAATAGTAACACCCTATCCATAACATACATATACATAGGAATTATACAGACAGTACTAAATGACAGTTACACGGTGAGACAAATGATTTACTTCAATTGTCTTTTCATCTTTCTTTATGTCAAAAAGAAAGTCCCAATTTGTTGACAATGAGGCTTGAACATCTGTAGATCACTGTCTAACTTGCTTTGTAACGAAGAGAAGGCCTTAATTTGTGGGTTCTTGTGAACAACAGCACCTATCTCAATCCTGTTGCATATGCTGGTGGTTCAAAACTTTATGTTCTCTTATATTAAAAATTACTCAGGGCTTCTACAGAATTTTCATTTGTATAAATTAAGCACATTAATATTAAAATAATCAAACCTAAAAAAATTTTAAACACCTATTGATTAAAAATAATTCATCAGAACAGTTTCATTTAAAACCTAAGTACAAAAAACAAAAACAGTGAAAAGAATAGCATATAAGCTTTTTTTTTTTTTTTCAATTTCTTTAATATCTGGCCTAAAATGCTAGAAGTAGAGAGAAAATAAAAAGAAAAGGTAGAATTTCATATTCGCTACTGGATTCAATCATTTGCAATGTGTTGTTTGGTTGAAGGACATAAAGTCCAGCTTTATGTAACTAGAACTTTTAGATATCAGTAGCTATTCTTTCTTTGATACTACACCAAAACTTGGCAAGAGGCACTTCCTTAATGTTAGGTGCAATGCAGAATCTGAAATGACAATCAGTGAATGCTTTGCACTCTATAAACTTGTACAAGGATGTACTATTTGGAGAACAGTTTTAATACTATAGGTCACCAGAATAGGTCTTAAAACAGATTCTTTCAAGATTCTCTGGGCCACTTGTCCAGCAACAGTGACTTATATTGCACCTCTTGAAACAGCCATTTAAAGTAAGGGATGTTAGTTTTCCATTTACATAAACAGTGACTTGTTTCCTAAAAGAAACTTCTGGTTCAAACCATCAACTTAAAAATATATGTATTCCACAATGGTAGAGTATAGATACTTAGGGGGAGAAAAAGTATAGTTTGGAAAACAAGTATTATCCTGCAAACCTTCCCTCTATTCTCATTTTATAAATGAGGATACCGCTGGACAGCTTTTCCTCAGCTGTTTGGTGAGGTCTTGACTGTAAATCAGCTCTTCAGATGCGTGGTCCCCAACTATATAGGTACAACCTAACTTTCAAAGTCCAGATTAAAGGCAATACTAGCAGAAAAAAACCTTCTGCAGGGGAATACAGACTCCTCCACTCAGCACGCTGGGGATTAGGCGGTGAGGTGTGAACCTAGACATGAAGGGCTGCACGCTCTAGGCGGCTTAACCCTCCCTCCGAGGAGGCACTGCCTCCGGCCGGTTGCCCCCACATTCTCCCCGAGGGGCGCGGCGGGGCGCAGGGTGGCCGTCCCGGCCTCGCTCACCTGACCGTCCGGACCACGAAGTACACCAGCACCGCGCCGCTCACCACCATCAGCACGGTCAGCGCCCGCTGCGTCATGGGCCTGTCACCGGGGTTGGGGCTCACCGCCAGGCCGCCCCCGGCGAGC